GGGTTTGGGGTTTAGGGTTTATCTAAGACATGAACTACTCCTGCCTCGAGCTCCTGCCAAGATGTGGGACTATCTCGGACTATCTCAGAATTTGAAGCGAAATGCCTTGCTGAGGTGGAAACTTCATGTTTTGCCAGCACACCGGAAAGCACTTGTTCACGTCTCATGGGAGAGAAGAACCGAAAGCAACCCTCTTCGAAGGTTTTTGTTGCGTGCATTTCGAGCTGCCCCCGGCATTTTAAATGCGGAAACATTTCTCGGTGTCAGAGCAATCTTCTGTGAAATTCACTTTTTGGGCTTTTTGGCCGACTCACGATACACGGGCTTGGGCCTCTTCCCGTCAGCTGAACCTGCGACAAGGGGTCAAATCCTACAGCTTGCAACTTGCAACAGAAAACTCAACAGACAGACATGCGGCGTGCGTGCCTTTGGGCTGAACTTTGGCTGCGGCGGACGCCGCCTTCTCACATCGTGCCTTTTTTTTAGCTCCACCCACTGGAGCGGTGTCAAGCGCTGCCTTGTCCGTGCTTGCTCGCGCATCTTCTGGTTGCTTGTTTTTCTGTTTCTCAATCTGTTTCTCATCTTTTTTCGAACCTTTTTTGTCATGTTGTTTCTCCTTCTTGTCTTTTTTCTTATTTTTCTTGTCCTTCTTCTTCTTGTGACTTGACGAGCTGGAGAGGCTGCATCCAGCATTGCTGCTGACCGCGTCCGAGGATTCTTCCTCATCATCCATGTCAGCTTCCGCGTCCACATCATCATCCTTAGGATGCACAGGAGGCGGGAGCTCATCCAACTTGAGCTGCTCATCTGATCCAGGATCCACCTCTCCTGCTAGCACACGGTCCAGAGCCGTTTTGACATCGGCCACGGAAGGCTTGCCATCCATAGCCTCATACAAACATTCTACACTAGCACTGTGGCACTGCACGCAAGATTCACCACAACTACTTTAACTGCCAAGTCAAGATGCTCCTCCATACTTCTGGTTCCATTTCCAAAGTTGAGCAACCACCAGGTTAAGAGCTTGTAGCTGTGTCCATTTTCCGCCGTAAAGCCGGGCCGTGCTGTGCATGGACTTGCGGGAGGACGCGTCCCCCCCCTTCTTACCCTTTTTCTTCCCCACGCTGCCTGCTGCATCAGCAGGCTTTCTGAAATACCCGGCGAACTGACACAAAGCCGGTTGCCAGTTGAGACAACATCCTGGAACTTTTGGACGCAAATTCTTGATGAGAAGCGGCGTGAACTCCGCAGCTTTTTCCCGGTGCAGTCCTTCTCGTTTGAGAATGACTTCCGCCCTCTGATCATCGTCCACAGCCATTTTGAGGTCTGCAAACTTGTCATAATCAGACTCTGCCGTCAAGATTTGGAGCACGGATGGTAGAGATTTCGAAAAAGCAAGTCCGGATTTAGCAGCGCCTTTGGCAGCCGAAGTGGTGTTTTTGTCAGCCAGCAAACGCTGGACGACGTCCTCCTGCTCCTTCTCTGAAAGTTGGCGCAAGTAGGAAGCCACCAAGGTCCTCCTTAGTTATAGTTAGAGCGCAAACTTGTCTGTCACACGTGTTTCAAATCACATACGGGCAGGCTAGAAGCAAACACCAGACCGCAGAACTTGTGTAGGGTATGCTGCTCAGCGTCAGGTAAGTAGCTGTTGATGGTGTCCGCTCCTTTGGCTGCTTGACCACTTCCAATTGCGCTGCGATGCATAAGTCCCGGGCAAAACTCACATTCTGCGTGAACTGGCCGTGCTTCAGCCAAAAAGAAACCAATCCCATCTCTTCGCCGGTTTTTTGCAGCACGACTCCGCGCTGCCCCATTGGCCACGATACTGGAAGTTCGCAAGGAAGGCCTGAGGCAGACAGTTGAAGTGGGGAAATGCTCGGGAGAAAACACAACACCTAAAAGGAAATCTTGGGGAGAAAACACAGCACCTAAAAGGAAATGTTGGGGAGAAAACACAACACCTAAAAATCACTTGTTGACGCATCCAGATCTTGTGTGTAACCTTTAGACGAGAAGCACACCTTTGTCGGGATGCCTCTCCATGGACTGCCCTCCTCTTCCGCAGGCTTCAGGACTTCGGTTAGGCTGCACGTCCGAAACCTGTCCTTGCATTCCGTCAAGTCCAACTCCTGTTCCGACAGCTGAAAGAAACCACTGGCGTGCTCAGACGTTCGCCAGAGGAAAGCTGTTTGAAAGTGGTAGCCCAAGCAAAGGAATGCTTTTCCTGAAACAGCATCTCTGTACACGCAGGCTTCCTGTAGCAATTCAGTGCACCAGCAGCCGGCAATGTCAGCGAAATTGTTGGAAGCCAGGGAGCGCAAGCTGCACATTGCACCGACTGCGCGGTAGTCACCAAGATGGCCAGCTGGTCGCAAGACCGGTGCTGGTCTGGGGGCTTCTCCATCGGGGGGTTTCTTGTTCCGACCTGCCAGGAACAATCAACATCATTTGATGCCCAGCTCGCTAAACCCTAAGCCTACATTAAATAGATCATACCCAGAAACCTAAACCCGAATCCTGAAATTCTAGAAAAACCCTACGTCTTGAATTGAATTGAAGCCTTGGCCCTAAACCCTAAACTACACCCTGGGACCCTAGATCCCAAACCCTCCCGAGCCCTAAATCCTAAACTCCTACTGAAACCCTAACCCTAGATCCTCAATCATAGACCCCAAACTAAACCCTAGACTACCACACCTGCGTCAACCACTTTTTTCACCTCCTCATATGTTTCGGAATTCTTATGCTTGCTGGGCAAGAAAGCATCCCTGTCCCGCGACCATTTCAGTGCTTCTGGGCTGCGCAAGTCCCCTGGCTGTAGCTCCACGCGTGGCCACGCATCATCTAACCATCGCGGGCTCAGCGCGGCATGGAAAAACAGGCGTTCCACGGACATGAAGAGAGGATTGCGGTTGTCCACTTTATTCCTATGGGAGAGGTGTCCAAAGCAGTCCTCGAGGACCTCTTTAGTCGAGATCATGTTATCAAAGAGCCGGTAAACCTGTGGATACAATTTCTCGAAATCCCAGGCGCACTGCTCGCCTGCCTCCCAGAACTCCTGTCAATCACACCGGTGGCTAGTCAGTCACAGGCCCCTAAACTTGTTTTGTGGCAGGGGTCGGCGCGAGGCATGGATAATGATATCAGCGTCCTGCACCAGCAGCTCTTTGTGCACCCACAACTCCGAGAGAGTCGCTTTGATCCCCTGGCAAAAGCAAAGAGGCAGCTGTGCATTCGGGGGGTCAAGGGTCAACATGTCAAAGAAATCTAAACTATCGATTACATGTGAGGGCAGACCTGGGAGTCAGCGCAAGCTGCATCGCCCTGCAGACGCAAAGCTTTCTGCACGATTTCGCAGTCTGTCTGGCATCTGTTCACCGCCCCCGCCGCAGAGTGGAGGTTGGGGTCCAGGAAACCTGCGAAAGTTTTGCCGGGTAGGTCGTAGACTGCCATTGACCATGCCCGCTTGGACGCTGTGCCGAGGACCAGTCGAAGAAACGTCTCGGCACATTCCCGGCCTTCGTGATCACCAGCAGCTGCGTCGCTGATCTGGAGTTGCTGCAACACAAGACCATCGACCAACAAGCCCAGAGTGGCCGCCAGTGTCTGGGTCCAGGCGCGGTTCGCCCAGCCGCTCTGGAGCTGGAGATTCATGCCCCGGTCCTTCGTGGCATCCATGATCTCCAGATGCTCGTAAAAGAGCATGCGCCTGGAGTAGTAGATCCTGACAGCACAGACACACACGCGCACACACACACACACTAGAGAGTCAAACTCCGGACACCTTTCCCTCTAGGCCAAGCTGAAATTTTGACCCCGGATCCCAATGTTTCTGACAAGGCGCATGTTGGCCAGCGCTCGCAATTTGTAATCGCAAAGCACGTCGTAAGCCACGTCCATCGCCGGCTTTGCCGACTGAAGATCTTTGAGCACTTCTTGAAGGCTTTGACCCCCTGCGTTGCTTGCGGCAGATGGAGTGCAGGATTCTCCGGCCTCACTTTCCTGAGCAGCAACATTGTGTCTCGGCATGCTGCCCATCTCTCTGGAAAAGACAAGGAAGAATTCTCGTCTTCTCTGCTTGCCTGCTAGCCGCAGATTGCCCACCCAACTTTTTCCGGAAGCTGTGCACCTTCCGGGCAAACGTCCAGTAGGGAGCGAAGGTCTTCCATCCATGGTCCCAGCTGAACCATCTCGACAAAGTAACCTGACTCTAGAAGCCCTGGCCCTAGTTGCTGGACTTGTCTGGAGTAAAAGCACGACGTGTGTAGCCAAGTTACTTCCGTACCCGTCCACGTCGAGATTCCTCGCCTGCAACGGTCGTGTACTTCTTGGGGGGCGGTGCCCTGTGGCAGATTCATCTCAATCTTGATGAGGTCCATATCCTGTTGAAACCTGGGCGAGCAGGGACAAACACATTCCGAACAAAGAGCACGACGCTTTCTACTTGTCAGGCTGAACGTTCCCACGACAAGACACTCTGCAGAAGCGGGACCGAAGCAATCCAGGTACTGAGTCGCTAGGTACGCAAGCTCTGCACCAAACGTGTAGTCACTCCAGGGTCGCTTGTTGCAGCTCATAACGAGCCGTGTGCAGGCCACCACACCTCAGGCAGGCCCCAAGTAGATCCATGAGAACTCTGGGCCAGCCCGCCCTGAGACACTGACCCCAGAGCCCTTCGTGCTTGGCGGCACAGTCGGAATCATTGACGAGTCGGTGATGTTCTTCCCGCCGCACCATCAATCGTAGTCTGTTCTGGTACAGAAGGATGTTCAAAGATTTCATCCTTGGATCAAGATGCAGAACCAAAACATGAAACTGATGCTGGTGGTCTGCGCTCCTAGGCTCTTGCAACCCAGTCTCTGTTTCGGGTCTTCATCACATGTGATGATTAAGGTCTTTCGCTCGGAAAGGGGTGGAAGACTTGGTCCCGATTGGCGACTAGCCCCGAAATCATCGATGTTGATGCCTGCGCCCCTTTGCAAAGCATGGGCGAGACCTTGGCAAACCTTGAGGGGCTCCGAGTGCAGTCTGCGCGACTGCTTCTTGAAGCGGTCCAAGGCACCTTCTGGTATTAGACGATTGGATTCCAGCTCCTGAGGGCTTGCAAGGAAGACGCCGCTCTCGCAGTTGCTTGGGACAGAGACGCACACACACACACATCAATCACAAACCATGAGCCCCGTCCGCAATCTTCATTGCCATGCGCATTTCTTCCTCAGCGTTCTCATCGTCTCTCGTACTCATTATGCCAGATTTATCCAGCACGTCCGGGTCAATCACCTCAGCTGTGAAAGGAATGCTTGAGGTAGGGGGCGTGTCATGCTCTGGAACACACTTGGAGTCTAGCAGCAGCATGTGCACACAAAACCTGCCGTTCCTTTTGGAGCAGCATCGCCGCAAAACTGACTTGGTTCAAGTCTCCGGCAAGCAGATACTGGCTCAAGTGAGAACGCTGGCTGGGAAAGTAATTTCCAGGAGCTTTGAGCGCCTGCGAACTCTGCTGTAAAAGCCTGGCTGCGCATCAGCCAGGGCTCTTGTGCATCACATGCCTTACAGAGTGGCTAGACGCTTGCCTTTTCACAAATACAAAGGATTGACCTCGAGTAGCATCCCGAAGCAACTCGACAACCAGCCATGTTTAGATTCGTAGTCTTAGTGAAAAGGGCACGAAATGCCTGCGCGGAGCCCATGGCTGACTGAGCCAGCAAGGGCGCCAGCTAAGCGAGCAGGCCACCAGGTCACTCAACTATGGATGTGCTGACTGTAGGCAGCAGTAGGGGTGCACGAACATCAGTCCACACTACACCAACTTCTGCGCAAGAAACAACACTGCTGCGTAGGGGTGCAAAGCTGAGAGTGTTATTGCTCCAAGCAACATTCACGGAACGATGGTGGTCTATGCTTTGCAAGGCGCTCACACTGGCGGCGCTCCGCGCGAAACTTTGGCAGATGATCGAGTTCTTGCTGACAGGGTTTGGGGTTTTGCGGGATGGGCGAGGTACTGTAGGTATTATTAGGATTGGCATAAACACTTAAATGGCAACCCCCTGTAACACAGTCTAGGGGCTCTAAAAAAAAGACACGGCCAATAAATTGTACTTTTGGTTGCAGCCTGCAAGAGCCTACCCAAGAAAATCTTTGCAACCCTAGGAATTCTACCAACTCACTGCGCAAGGCGGACCGTGTTACTACAGAACTCCTATACACTCTCCAAGTCAAGCGCTAGGCCCTAACCCCTGGAGTATAACGAAGACCTACAATGACAGTGCCATCTGGCCCAAAGTGGGGCTTAAGGTTATTTCGGGTTTAGGTTCTGGGCAGCCAGGCCGGTCCGGTAGTTTTGAGAGGCTGCGGTTTGGGATACAATTTCTGAAGCGGTGCGGTCGTAGACTGCTTCTGGAATACCCTCAAAACCCGTACATAATATTCATAAATGTATATCTACAAACCCAAAATACACTAAACCCCAAACCCTGAACCCTCAAGCTGGGTGCTTAAGCAAAGGCTAACCCTTAAACCCTAAACCCTATATAAACCCTATAACCCTGAGCCTCGAACCCCCTAACATGTGTAGAGCCTTAACTTCAAGACTTCCGTCCCTTAAACCCTGAAAGCCCTAAACCCTAAACAGTCAGATCTTACTTTCGCTTATGGCTCGGTTTCTCGAAAAGAGTTTCTGCCTAGTGGGACATGGGATCTAGGAAATCTTGCCTCCAAACCCCGGATTCCAAACAGATGCCGACCTGAAATTCCAGAAAAAAAAAGGGCCTTAACCGCCTGAGACCCTCATGGAGCCCTACTTAGCCATGACCGACTCATCTGCAACCCCACAAAAGTAGCAGAGGCCGGCAGCTGCAAAACATTACCATCCCTGCCGTGCCCTCTCCATCCCGAAAATCCTGTCACTAAAAGTCCATAATCTAATCTAGCGCCGAACTGCAAACCCTAAACTCCACACCCCGAAGCCCGAAAGGCCTACAACCCCCAGACGCTCTACAAAACAGCCCGCAGCCCTGCGCCCTAGGCTGAATGGCTGAACAGCGACTCGGCGCGGTCGCCGACCGCGCCGCCAGAGATTTGTCCGGGCTCCGTTCCACAGAATTGTTGCCGTTCTAAGGGGAAATAAATACTCCCCCCAAGACCCGGCGCTATATCGCACTATCTCGATACTATCTTAGCAAGAGTGTTTGGAAAGCTTTCTAGGGAACGGAGGCACTCGTGTTCCACCTGCCAAAGCGGGCAAAATGCGCGCGCACCGGGCCAGACTTCTGGCTCACTTTCCTGGAAGTTTTGGGGCAGCGGGAATGGCAGCGTAGCTGGTGCTCTTCGCCTTGGCCTTGCCAATCTGCTTGGGCGGGGGTGGCTGTGCGGGCTTGGCTGGAATCTCGGCTTTGGGTGGTGGGGCCGCGGCTGGGCCTTTTGGGGCCTCTGCGGGCAGGGCTTTGGCTGGCGCAGCGTCGGCTGGTGCGACAGGCAAGGCTTCGGCAGGGGCTGGGGCTTCTGCTTTGACGGGCGCGTGTGCGACGGGCGGGTGTGCCACGGGCGGTGCTTCTACAGGCGGGGCTGCTGCGGCTGGTGGAGCTTGGACGGGCGGGTCTGCCACGGCGGGTGGGGCTTCGACGGGCACGTGCGCGACGGGCGCGTGTGCCACGGGCGGGGCTTCGACAGGCGGGGCTGCTGCGGCGGGTGGAGCTTGGACGGGCGGGTGTGCCACAGCGGGTGCGGCTTCGAGGGGCACGTGCGCGACGGCTGCACGGGCGTGGCTGCGACAGCTGGAGCTTCAACAGGCGGGGCTGCGACGAGCGCAGGTGGGGCTGCTTCTGCAGGCGGGGCTGCTGCGACAAACGCGGCCGGGGCTTCAGCTGGAGGAACGGCAACGGGCGCATCCACACGCGCAGCAGCCGGTTGGCTTGGCACAGAGGCCTGGAGGTACTGGATTGGGGGGAAGTCTTCCGATGCTTCTACCTCCATCGACCAATGCTCCTTTTAAGGGCCATGCGTGGTATTGCGAGGTTTGCGTGGGGTTAGTTTTAGGGTTGGTTTAGGCTTGCCGTTAGGGACAGTGGAGTTTCTGCTTGGTTTAGGCTTGCCGGTTTAGGGATAAACTTTGGGGTATTTAATATTATAATAAGGGTTTGGGGTCTAGGGTTTAGGGCTTAGCAAGGTCGTTGAAATTTGTGACCCCGAAAGTACAATGCCCTGTTCTCGAGGTACGCAACTCTGACACCCAAAGCGTGTGCCCTAAAAACGTGAAAGCATACGAACCCCCAACTTCCCCCCCCCCAAAAAAAGCTAGGCCAATGAAATCAAGACGCAACAGTAGCGGAGAAGTGAGCAATCCCTAGCCCCAACCCTTCAACACAGGAGCGCCAAACCCTGCAGGCACATTAGGCAAGAGCTGCGGCAGCAGTAGCAGCAGCAGTAGCAGCAGCAGCGACAGCAGTAGCAGTAAAAAGCAGTCAGTGGCACCTGCAGCAGGCGCAGCAGCAGCGGCAGCAAACGACAGATAGCAAAAGTCCGGCCTTCAAGCGCCGGGGAGTCGCACTGTCCTTGCGCTCGAACAGCTCATCTGCCTCAGGTTTAGGGCTTAGGGTTTGGTTTAGGGAATTTTATATAATGTAGGTGTAGACAGGGTTTGGGGGTTTAGGGTTCAAGGGTTAAAGGGTGCCCAGGGCAAAGCTTAGGGTTTAAGTTAAGGGTTTAAGGGCTTGGAGGTTTTGGGGGCAGTTGGCCCAGATGACGGCAATGCGCCATTTTTCTCACCCCACTGTCAGCTCAGAAACCCTCAACCTAGCCATGCGCAACATCCCTCGGCAGAAGCGGAGCCCGCTGCAAATCGCAGCTAAAATCCCAGGCGACAACAATCCCGAAATCCCTGTACGTATGTCCCCCACATTCCCAGCATCACGTCCGCGCTTCGCGCTGGTCGTCCGGAATCCGGAACCCTCAAGCCTAAACCTAACCAATGCAACCTTCCACACATTGCGGCCAAGGAGCATACATCATGAGGCCAAGTTCGGGAGAGGACACGAACTCCCGCTTGTTCGCGCGATGTCTCTGCACGAAATAGTCATTTGCAAATGGAAGCTCGGCAACCATACTGGGATTGCTCACCGATACCAGCAGCGGCTTGTCCACTGTGTCGTAAATGACAATGGTGTCAAACATGGGCTCGCCGGTGGCATCGCTCCTGGGTGTGGTGGGCGCACGCGAGCGACCGTCGTTGCTCTGATTCTTTGATGGTGCATCATCCTCGCCGGCGGTGCCCTCCTCGACGGGCACAAACTCCTCAGCCTCCTCAACCTCCAAGAAGTCGGAGACCCACGGGTTCGTCAGACCATTGGAGAGGTAAGGGCGCTGGTCCCTAAGTAAGTGCACAACTACATTTACACAATCAATTACTCTGAAGGGTTTAGGCTTACGGTTTCGAGGTTTCGGGCTCAATAAAACTAAGTCGTTTCAGGGGGTTGGGGTTTCAAGTTCAGGGTTCAGGGTTTAAAGGTTGAGTGGTTTAGGGGTTTGGGGTTGAAAGTTTGAGGTTAAGTTTAGGGTTATTGTGCTCAAAATTAAATTCGGTGAGTTTGGAAGAATCAGTCTTCGCAGCAACCGAGACACAACAAGCTCCAGTAGATAATGTCCTGGTAGGGCGTTCCATGGATTGCTGGGAGCCATACAGACTCTGTACCATTTGTCAGGGCTTGGTAGTCGCCGCTCCAATAAACCGAGAGGTTCTGCATGATGCGGGCACGCTCGGCTTTCATGTGTCGGATCCTGCCTAGGAGTTGCTTCGAGTTCACGGCGCCTAAGCTCGAAGATGCACTAGGACATCACATGGCAAGGGGCTCAAGCAGCTGAGACACCCCTCGGAAGCTCATTGTTGTCCATGCGAAGGTAGATGTTGTCCTGCAAGCCGTGGATGTAGCTGCCACCTTTCACATGAAATATTGTCACGCGCAAGCCGACCCACTCTTGAATCAGCTGATTTGTTTATTGAGGCGACCACGTGGATCATCGGGATCAGAGGCGCGAGGTTTCGCCAAGGGGTCCACGCCCGCCAAGTAGGCTATGATATCCTAGGCCAATGAAGATGAGATTACCAGGGGGGGTTGGGGCAAGACTAGTCTGAGATTTGAATGAGGCGCCGTGATGTCTTCGTTTGAGAGGCCCTGCAAGACCGTGTTATTGAACTGCCTTCTGTCGAGGGTGTAGAGCAAGTCTTGCTTCTCGTAAAGGGGTAGGTGGTAAAGATCAACGGCATCCATGCGATTGCTCTTGGTCGCCTTTGCAGCACGTGGGGCTCCCGACGATTTGGGCGCGCCTGCAGGACAAACAACTAGCCCTCAAATAGATCCCCGAAACTTGCAATATTGTAGCAAATTCACTAGGTTGCCTCGTTGCTTCGGAGCAGCTGCTCGGGCAGTTCGAGGAGGCGGAGGCCACGCTTCTGCAGCTACCATCGCTGTCTGAGTGACCTTCCCCTTCCCATCGCCCTTGTTAGAGGGAGGAGGCGCCGAAGCGCCGTAGCCACCCTTGCCCCAAGATGAAGCGGCACTTGAGATGGGTGGCCCATAACCTTTGCCATGTGACATGGCAGGCGGCGGGCCTTTCCCACCTTTGCCTGGAACAGGGGGAGGAGCTCCATGCATCCTGGCTCGGCAAGAGGTTCTTCACAGTCACAGGACAAGCTGTAAGCTGAAGTCACGGCTACGCAAGCCAGAATCACCTATCATGATGCGTCTCAACACGCGGCAGAATCAAGCATCAGCAGGAGTAGACAATGTCTTTTCCTACGTCAGACTAGTCACACAGCTCTAGCAGCTCTGCCAATGTCAGGGCATCCTGCTTGCGTCGCGTGCACATGAGCATGCAACCTGCAAAGGTCCCTACTTGGGCGACGTGAAAGGCGTTGCCCAAAGCCCCTTTCATATCATTCCAGGTCAGCCCAGGGACAAACACACGATAGGCGTGCGTGGCATAGCGCCAGCGGCACACATCGAAAGTTAGGTACCCCATCGCTAAGTACATTTCTCTCAGGAGGAGGTGCCGGCCATACGCTGGAAAGAACATAAGGCCACCAGACTTCCGGAAGCAGGGAATCCTTCCAGAAGCAGCACTCCAGGTCGTCCACCCTGTGGACGGGGCATCATTCAGGTGACACACAAGATCCTCCCATGGGCAGACTGGGTCCGAGAGCTTGCTGTATTTCTGCACATAATCTCGAAGCCGTGTTCTTTCTGAAGGCTGAAGCACGTTGCTGGGCTCCACGAACCAAGCCTCTGCGTCTTTGCGGCGCTTAGCTAGGTGCCAGAGATCTTGAGCCACATCGCTGTCTTGGGCGACCAGAAGAGAGCGAGGCCTCAACAAAATCAAAGTCAGGATTTCAGCATTACACCCCAGAGTGTACAGCAAGCTTGTGAAACTGGGGGCTGGGCCTCAAGTTCGGGGGCTCTCTTTTCACAACTTGGAAAACGTACTGCAGCAGTTGATCTGGCTCATAAACGCAATCCGTTGTGGCACTGTTGATGGCCCCCATGTAGAGCCTGCAACGAAGCTGGAGTTTACTTTCTGCGTGCCTGAAAACAGTAGACAAACTCAGGACTAGTCCTGCCTTGGCCTGTTAATGCAATCGAAGCCCACATCAGAGGGGCTGAAAACTCGTTCTGCGCACCATGTATAGGAATCACCGAAGGTTTCATGGACGAGGTCTTGGGGGCAGTTGGGGACGTTCTCGATACACAGGACGCTGTTGGCAGTTACCTGGGCTTTCTGTCCAAATCCCAGGATGAAGGGCAGCTTGGGCCCTTCCAGGCCCAACTGCTTGCCTGCGCTACTAAAGTCCTGGCAAGGGAAACCTCCCAGTCTGATGTCAGACTGAGTGTTGAACGGACAGGGCTGCTGATGTTGGAGGCACCATCCATGTGTCTGGGTTTGCAAACGCCTGGAGCGCTCTAGCCGGCTTTGAAAGTCTGCTCCTGCTGCTATGTGAGCGTATGAAACCATACTGCCGACCTCATAGATGTCCAGCACGTCGGGGAAGATACAACAGTCATCTGTCACACGCGTACGCAGTGCCGTCTGCATCTTGGCATTGTTTTCCTGGGCACGAATCATGTGAAATTCGGTGGGCTAAGAGGAGCCGGGAAAGGAAAGAAGGAATGCACGGGGAGGGAGAGATAGAGAGAGAGAGAAAGTGGAGAGTAAAAGGAGATAAGAGAAGGCCTGACAACAAGCTAAGGGGTTGCCAAGCGACGCAAACAGATCTAGATTTCAGGTCAACATTGTAGCAGCGAGAAGCAGCGGCATCGGTGAGGAAACTTGCAGCGGTCTCCCAACCAGCGGCGCCTCCACTGAAGTCGCTGTCGGACCCCGTACCTTTCAGGAACACTGACCTGTCAATTGTGGATGGCGCAAGGGTTTGCTGAGCACATTGTAGTAGCCGGACCGGCCAATCGAACGCTTGTCGCAGGCTGCTAATCATAACTGCTGGCCTACGAGGTAATTGGGCACTTGAGCCACGCAGCACTTGACATTACAGATGCTATTTGTTGCGCAGCGCACTGGGGCCCTGAAATGCAGCAAAGTGACTTGGAATGGTAACACCGTCCCAGCATTGTTAACCGTTGACCAGAGGACGAAGAAGTTGGCCTTCTTCTTCGATGGGTTGCCGCCATCCATGAGGACCTGAGAACAAGCTTTTAAATCATTATCTTGTTTTGGGTGAGCCATGTCCTCCAGTAGTCTAGACGTTGCAGCTAGGGGTCCTGGATGAAATTGTTGTCGGCAAACTCAATCCGGTTGCGGTACATGAGGCAGCTGGCGAAATCCTCCATTAAATACAAGTGTTTCTAATTTGGGGGGGGCCTTCAAATCACCCCTGCTGAGCATGTGTGTCTGTCCTTGAAAATCACCTGGGCTTGCTGTCGCTGGTAACCCATTAGCTCAAGCGAGTCTTCCAATGTACTTTTCTCTCCACGTCGTACCTTCTCTATTGCAGCTTCCTTGATCGACGCAGGCATGGCAACTCTGCCAAGCTTTTCCTTAGAGGTGCCTCGTGGTTCAGCATATGAGTACAGTTGGGCGGCCATCAGCTCTGTACATTGCTTAGCAATCGGCAAAGCACAATCGAAGCATTTGGCATCTCCATCAAGTAGCAAGGAAGCAAGAAACTCCCCGACTGTCATACATTCCTGCAGCACAATGATGAGACAGCACAGTAGCTATGGCACGTGGTTTACCAGAGGTCAAGCCCTTTCAAGAAGCTGAGTTTCGTACAGGCGGGGACAAGACTAGCTTCTCACTATCCTCCTTGCCAGCAGCATCCCGTATACCATTCGTCAATCTAGACCAATACTGTTGCCACCAAGGTTGGCCAACAAAATCGTGCAGTTCGAGATCATCAAAAAGGCATTGACCTTTGCGGATGCTAAGTTGTGATCGAGCTAGCAGAGGCAGTGTCTCCACCAAGACAATGCCACAGTTGATCGGATGGAGAAAGTCTCTCAACGTCTGAGCAGCCCTTAAATTTGCTGAGACCCACTGCGCAAGCATGTTTGCACTCGAACAAATGCATCACAAAAAGCTTTTACTGGGAGCTGTGTCAGGAGGCAGAGAAAGTCTGAGTGCTGGCGAGAGGCTTCAATCTGAATTCTGGATCCCGACGTGCGGAAATGGTGAAGTGCACCAATTGGCACATGATGCTAGAGGTGGGGCTGAGAAGCTCAGTTGTTCCAACTAGCAAATCATCCGGAATCACACTAGGCCCTGAACGCATGGGCCTGATACGCTGCCGGCTGCAAACCTTAGTGATGATCAGTTTTTGCAGTCCACATCCCTAGCAGTTTTCCCTCCATCAATGCGACCTGAAAGCTATCCATGGTGGCGGATCTGCGTGCGGGAAAATCTTGCCGAACAAACGACCTAGGTGAGCCTGATTCTTGTCTAGGATCTCATTGTACTTCCTCCAGCAGGGTCAGGGGCCAATTTGCAGAGTTGGCAGGACAGGTGGGTTACATTCAACAACATACACGCAGCTGATACTTGGATGTCCTTGCTTGTGTCGCAGAGTGACACGCTTCCACGAACCGCAGCACAGACCAGATAATTTCCCCGGTGTCTTCCACCAGGTACATTATCACATTTTGCAGGGTCGAGCATTGCTTGGAAGGGAAGGAGTATTCTACCAGTGGCATCTTCCTAGGTTCGGGCCTGTTCCTGCACAAGCCATGTGGCGCTATGCACCCACTATATCTCCCTATATAATGGGGAGATAGTGGTTATTTAGTGGTTATTTAGTGCGACTTAGTAACGGACACTGCCAGGAGTTGTTGGGGGGAGTAGAAAACTTCTTAGAGTTTAGGGTTTAAGGTACTACTACGAACAAGTGTAGTAGTACTAATCGTCCTTTCAACAATAGTGGTAGTAAAAGTATTTAATCATGACCGCCCGCAGGGAAGTTGTGGGTCCCCTATTCAGGAAAACAGCTCTGAGGCATTACATCTGCAAGACTGCCATCGCAATGACCGACAACCGGAACATTAAGACCTGCAAGGCTGGCAAGGGAGGGATCTTGTGCTCGGAGTTCTCTCCTTCGGCACCTGACGGAGGTCTTGCGGAAGCTCGAGGTCGGTGAAGTCGTCCGAGTCCTGGAAGGCTCAGAAGTGGCATCGTGCAGGACTCTAGCATCTCTAGCGGATCACAGATCAAGGCCGTGGCCACCAAGGCAAGTTCGCGAGCTGGCAGCCCTTAGCCGCAAGCCATCTAAACCGATCTCTGGCATTTGAGGATTCTGCAGATTCCCTGGAGTGTTGGGTGATCCTGAAGGGAAATGATGGGACAGCGCGGAGGCCTGCTCTCAGCGGGTAGCTTAGAGACTGCGGAAACCGAAGCTATTTACGGTTCTGCAGGCGCTGGGGCCCCGTGGCAGTGACGCGGTGCCGGTGCTGCCAGGTGCCGCTGCTTCGCTCCGTGTAGCGAGGGCGTGCGGCTCAGAAGCCGCTTGATGCTGCGGCCGCCCTATTGCAGCAGCTTAGTATTGCGGTAATATTAGGGTTATATTGGGGCTATATAGTGGAAAAAACCTGGAAAGTACTCCCATAATCGGGCACCTTTTTAAGCGAGAAGCAAGAGATGGCTGTGAGGCAGAGCCGCTGTCACCGCGGCAGAGTTGCAAGCGGAAGTCGGGAGCTCAAACCTCAGGGCAGTCTCAGGGCCTAAGACTTGAGCCATAATATAATACAATGTAACAGGATATAATGTAATAGAATATAATATGCTATAGTCTAGTATGGTATACTAGAATATCCGGTTTCTGGTCCACGGTTTCGGGTTTTTGCGGGCTTTGGGGGTCGAGGCTTGAGGGCTGTTGCTGAATGATGGCCTTGGTCTCTCCTCGACATGGCCTCTCACCTGGTTGCCGATTACAATTATATTGTACTATATTATAGCATCTTGTATTATATTGAAATATATATTATGCGAATATCTAATCTATATTATGCTATATCTTTATGCCTTATGGTGTGTCACAATATATACTATATTCTACCATATTTTCAAAACCCTAAGCCTTTTAACCCCTTGACCCTAAATCCTAAACCCAAAACCTAAGCCTTTTAACCCCTTAACCCTAAATCCAAAACCCATAACCCACGCCTCTTAACCCCTCAACCCCAGACCCCAACCCCTGAACCCCAAGGGTGCATCGCACGGTCTAGATCCTGGGCCAGCAGCTGAGCCCACACACCTTGCAAAGAGCGGGCTTGAGGCGACACTGCCGCAGATGTGCTTGGCAACCTCATTTGGCTTTACAGCCAGAGGCAGGACCATTGTTTCAGTTACCTTTCACATTCTGACATATATTTAATGGCTGCCGCCACCTCCACCGACCCCGTGAATCCTCCTGGGCGGATGGGTTTAGGTTGGAAAGTGGGGCAGCTGCTCGGGGTTCTGGCCGTTAAACCGTGATATCCACCAGCAAGATCGGTGCGAGCGGAGGCTTGGGGGAGGAGGGGGTGGGACCTGCTGAGGGCTGATTTTCATACTTTGTTAGGCTTCCGTGAGTTGATGGACCTGAAAGTCCTTGCATGAAATGCCGGATGCTGTAGCTTTCCACTGAACTGATCCTCGCTGTAAATAAGTGTTTGTACATGTCTGTTGTTGGTTGTTTGTTTGTTCGCCGCCTGTGAGTGGCGAGTTCGCCACCTCTGAGTGGCGTGTTGCTGTGTTGAGGGTACGTGTAGTGTCTATGTTTGTTGTCTCTGCTGTTCTGCATGCGCTCCACTCGCTGTTTCACTTGCCATATGATATTTGTCATCAATCTCCTCGCCTGAAGCCCCCCCAAAATCCCATAGTTAAAGGGGCGCGACGTCTAAGGTGCACGCGGATTTGAGTTTAAGGTGCGCGCGTGCGTGGCCGTATGCAGCTCCGAATGTATGGCTGGCGCATGGAGCGTCCTTGAAATTCTCGGCGCGAATGACGACCCTCTCGATGTTTGCGGCTTGTCGTATCGCTGGCGCGTGCTCAAAATTCTTGGCGCGAACGACGACCCTCTCGGTGTCCTGGGCTTTGTCGTGTCCCCTCCGCCTATATGAGCCTGAACAACCCTAAACGCTAAACAACCTGAAATCCTAAACCACCCCAAAGCCTAAACAGCCCTAAACCCCAAACAACCCTAAATCCTAAACCCTGAACAACCCTAAACCCTAAACCCCAAACAACCCTAAATCCTAAATCATAAACAGCCCTAAACCCTAAACAACCCTAAATCCTAGACCCCACACAACCCTATAAACCCTAAACATCCCTAAACCCTAAACAACCCTAAAATCCTAAACCTAAACAACCCTAAACCCTGAACCCTAAACAACCCTAAACCCTAAACAACGGTCCAATCCTAAATCCTAAACCCTAAATATCCCGAAACCCTAGACAACCTTACACCCCAAACCCTAAACCCCTTAAGCAACCGTAGGCCGTAAACCCGAAAGACCCCTAAACACGAAATTCCCACCCAGGCCTGCTTAGGCCGTGTCCACCCTTTTCCAGGGTTCCTGGACCCAGAACTCTAAACACCCCAATCCCTGAACCCTAAATCCTAAACAACCCTAGACCCTAAACAACCTTGAATCCTAAACCCTAAACAACAACCTAAATCCTAAACCCCAAACAACCCTAAACCTCAAACCTTAAACCCTAAATAACCCTGAATCCTAAACCCTAACCCTTAACCCTAAACAACCCTAAACTCCAAGCAGCCAAACCCAAACCCTGAACAACCCTAAACCCTAAACAACCCTAAATCCTAAACCCTCAACAACCCTGAATCCTAAACCCTAAACAACCCTAAACCCTAAACAGCCATAAATCCTAGACCCCACACAACCCTAAACTCTAAACCCTAAACAACCCTTAACCCTAAACCCTGAACCTTAAACAACCCTAAATCCTAAATCTAAACAACCCTGAACCTTAAACCCTAAACAACCCTAAAACCTAAACGACCCTAAACCCTAAACAAGCTTAACTCCTAGACAACCCTAAACCCTTGACAGCCCCAAACCCCAAATACCCCTGAATCCTTAACCCTAAAGAACCCTACGCCCTAAACAACCCTAAACCCTAAAGAACCCCCAGCCCTGAACCCTGATCCCAAAGCCCGGACCCTGGACCCGAACCCCAAACCCTCCGCCCACCACAAACCCCAACCCCCCCCAAATCCAATTCACTGCACCCCGCAGTGAATCGGGCAGCCTGAGTGCGCCTTAGACGCGCCAGCGCCTTAGACGCGCGGACGTGTGCGCCTTAGACGGCCCTGCCCACCCCCTGTGGCTGCGCGTTTGTGTGACGATCAGTCTGGAGTGCACCACTTGGCAGGTGCCTGGTCGGTAAAGATGAATGCCCTGCCTCGCCACTGGAAGTGGTGCACCAGCATAACTGCTTGCAACAACCAGTGGCATGATGATGCTGATGCTGAAGGTGATAACAATCGTGAATAGGAGGAGAGCAGCCAGGGAGGATGGGCAGGAGTGGGGAGAAGGGAGCCAGTCAGTGAACGCATGAGTGAACATGCAAGCGTTTGTTTGCTTGCTTGTTTGGGAGGGCTAGTTACATGCATGCTTAAGTGCAGCGAGCGGCGGGGGAGGCTTCAGGGAGGGCGGGGTGCGTTGAGAACATTTCTGTCTAGATAATCAGAGTTGTGTGCACAGACATGTTGCCACAAGTTGTTTTTGTGTGTGCTGACCCGGCTGCCTACCTAATTGTACTCTTTGAGAGTTTTGGCATTCAGGGGTTCAATTTCAAGGTGGTAGAAGAGCTCTCTCCAGTGGGAGGTTCTATCTTCGCAGAGGTACCCGCTTAAAGAAGAGTACTCTGGACCCGCCAGGGAGCTCGAAAGGAGAGCTCCCGTAGTAGCTTTAGAAGCCAGGGCAGATGCTTTGTACACTAGCATGTGTGGCGGGGACAGGCGTACACCACGCAAGCACTGTCAACATACGGCATAGCGCGAATGCCGCAGTTTTCGCAGTTGACCGTCCACAAGACTATGACGAGGAGTTTGACAACACAGCGCAAGTACACATGATTGTTGAGTTGTGCCCTGTCTTACAGGAAGTTGTCCATGGTGAAACGGTTGGTTGGGTCAATGTCCC